CGGGCCAGGGCCCCCAGCGCTCTATCCTGGGCCATCGACCCTGGTGCCAGGACTCGGCCTCACGGGGGGGCCCAGACCCTCTCTCTGCGCTCCCCAGGATGTCACCTAGACAGCACCTCGTCTGCGGCCAGGGGCTCCATCCCCTGCACCCACATTCATCCCTGGGTCCTCGACTCTCTCGCTGTGTACCCTCACGAGTTTTATTCTATACACCTGAAGCCCCACTGTGAACTCCCCTAAAATACTCCACCCAGAATTCCCGAACCCCTGGCCGGGGTAGGCGCTCCCGGCTCAGGACCATCTATCTCGGGGGTCCCCTCGTTCCAGGCAGGCTACCCTGTGCCCTCCCTCTAGGGGCAGCGGGCCCTTCTGGCTCAGAATGAATGGAAGCCCCTGAGGGCGCGGGCAGGGCTGGCCTGGGCGCACGCGACGCCAGCGCTGGGGGCCAGAACTTCCCGGCCTCCGCCCGCCCCCCACGGTCCCCGCCTCGGCCCCCCGCGGAGGGCGCTCCCCCACCGAGGGCGGAGTCGGGGCGGGGCGTGCTCCCAGGAAGGGGTCGGGCTTCGCTGTGCCCACGTCTCAGGGCGGAGCGTGACAGGAAAAGGTTGCGTGTCCGGGGGATATCCCGCCTGGGGCCTGCGGACTGGTGGGAGCAACTGGGTCTTCCCCTCCTTCTCCCACTCTCAGAGTGTTCCCCCCACCCCAAGGCGTGGGATAGGGGTCCTGAAATGAACCCTCAGGATTCAGAGGGGCTGGGAAGGACATCTCATCCTCACCTTCCCCTCACGCCCAGGAATCCTTCCCAGCTATGAAGAGGGAAGGCAAAAAGGCTAAAAATAATAAACCCTTAAAATAAAAAAGACAGATTGTTCCAAGTATAGGTGAGGGTGTAAAGAAATTTGAACCCTCATACACTACTGGTGGGCAAGTCAGGTGGGCCACCCCTTGGAAAAGAGACGCAATGCTGTCTCCAGCTCTGTGGCCCAAAATGTTATGCTCTGTCTTCATATGAAGAGGTTCTACTCTTAGACATAGAATCGAGAGAACGGAAAATACAGGTCCTCACTACACGTGAATGTCCAAAGCAAGGTTATTCATAATGACCAGTAAACAGAAACAACTCATACATCAACTGATGAAGGGAGAAATAAAATGCGATCTAGCACAGAATGAAATATTATGTGGCCAGAGAAAGAAACAAGGTTCTGGTAAGTGGTACAATATGGATGAACATTTTTTAAAATTATTTTATTGTATTATTTTTACGTGTACCGTCAAATCAGATCTGACTGGTACAGGAGGAGATTGCCCCCTGCTTCTCCAGCAGAGCATCTGGTGGATTTGAACCACGTACCTCTGGGATTGCAGTGCAGCGTCTTGCCACTAGGCCACCAGAGCTCCCTTATGGATGAACATTCTGAGTGAAAGAAGCCAGATCCAAAAAAAGTCTACCTGTTACATGATTCCATTCACATAAAACTTCCAGAATGCGGATTCGGGGAGAGAAAAAGTAGATGAGGGTGTCCGCTAAGGGACAGGAGGAGGGAATAGAGAGTGACCGCTGATGGGTGCCCTTCAGGGAGGCATGATGCAGTTGTGTCAAGGAGTCCCTTGTTAGGTGCCGTCAAGCATGGCTCCTAGTGACTTTATAAACCATAGATCTGAGCCCTGCCCCATCGTTGTGTGCCATTCTCATCACCTCTGACACTCTTGAACCCCTTGAAGTCACTGTGCCGATCCATCTCATTGATGCTTCTCCTCTCTTTCACTGACCCTCCATCTTTCCATGCCAGACTCTCTTCCAAGAGATAGCCTCCCCTAACAGCATGCCCGAATGATCTGTTCTGAATATAGACTGAAAAGGAAAGGAGACAGGAAGCATCCCTGATGCACTCTTTTCCTGGTTTTGAACCATGCAGTGTTTCCTTGTCTGTTCTGAGGATTGCTTCCTGGTCTGAATATAGGTTTCACATAAACACAAGTGTTCTGGGATTCCCATTCTCTTCAAGGTTAGCCACAATTTGTTGTGATCCACATAGTCAAATGCCTTTGCATAGTCAATGAAACACAGACATTCCTCTGGTGCTCTTTGCATTCTGCCAAGATCCATCGGACATTGGCAATAATGTCTCTAGTGCCATAACCTCTCCTAAACCCAGCTTGTGTTTCTGTTAGTTCTCTGTCAATGTACGGTTCCAGTCACTCTGTCCAGTCACCTTTTTTTTTTTAATGTGAATAAATATGGATCTCTTCCAGTTAATCGGCCAGATAGTGGTCCTCTAGATTTCTTGGCACAACCTCGTAAAAACGCCCAGGGCAACATCTGTTTGTTGAAATATGTCAATTGGTATTCCATTAACTCCTAAGGCTTTATTCTTTGCCAATTCCTTCAGAGCGGCCTGCACTTCCTCTTTCATCACCATTGTCTCTTGATCATATGTTATTTCTTAAAATTTTTCTGTGTCAGCTAATTATTTTTTGGTAGAGACTCTGTGTACTCCTCCCATCTTCTTCCCCCACTACTGGTTTCTTTTAATGCTTCCTGGATCATTCAATATTCTGCCCATAGCATCCTTAAATATTGCAATTCACAGCTTGAATTTGTTCTTTAGTTCCTTCCGCTCTTGCCAGCGAGTTCAGCCCTTTTGACTTTTGGACTCCAGCTCCTTGTACATTTCATTATAATACTTTACTTTGTCTTCCCTAGCTGCTCTTTGAACTCTTCCATTCAGCTCCTTAACTTTTTTCCCCCTCAACTCTTTTTTAAAAATTATTTTTTAAAAAAATTTTATTTTAGTATTTTCTCTGTGTGTGTGTACCATCAAATTGGATCTGACTGGTACAGGAGGAGATGACCCCTCCTTCTCCGGCAGAGCATCTGGTAGATTCGAACCACATATCTCTGGGATTGCAGTGCAGCTTCTTGCCACTAGGCCACCAGAGCTCCCCTTAAAAATTAATTTTAATGAAAGTTTACAGTGACTTTGGATTTCTATTCATTCATTATTGCACTTTTCTCCCTGCCCACCCCTCCTCCCAAATCACTCTTCTCTTTGAAAAGTGAAAGAAAAATTTGTTTATTGTTATACAATCCCTCCCCCCAAGTCCACTCCAATATGCAGCCTTCATTCTGGACTCCTGTAATGACAGTAATACCTAAACCCATATCCCTTTTAAATAGTTCTCTCCCTCATCTGTTTCTTTTATTTTTAAATTGTGTGTGTGTGTGTGTGTGTGTGTGTGTGTGTACCGTCAAATCAGATCTGACTGGTACAGGAAGAGATTGTTCCTCCTTCTCCAGCAGAGCATCTGGCGGATTTGAACTGCGCACCTCTCCCTCATCTGTTTCAATGCAGTATACATTATTTATCCACTCTTTCTCACTCTCCCCTCAACCCTGATGTCAGTCTTGTTTTACAACAGTGACACTATGCACTATTTGTCTTTTTGTGACTGAGATATTTCACTCAGCAGAATGTCCTCCAGGGTCACCCATTTTGTATAATATTTCATGAGTTCCTTGTTTTTCAATGCAGTGTAGTATTCCATTGTGTGAATATACCACAGCTCCTCTATCCTTAACTTCTTGATTTCCTCCCTTTGCTTTGGCTTCTTGGTGCTCTAGTGCAATATTCAGAGTCTCTTCTGACACCCATTCTGGTCTTTTCTTCTTCCTCCATCTTTCTAAATGACCTTTGCATTCTGGAGAGGGGGCTTTATGAAAAGCTATGTACCATCAGGGTTGGAGGAAGACTCATCAACAACCTATGTTATGCAGATGACACAACCTTGCTTGTTGAAACTGAGAAGGATCCGAAGCGCTTGCTGCAGAAGGTCAAGTATTGCAGACTGAGGGCCAAGTGTATTAGTAAGTATTAATAAGGAGACAGAGCATCGAGAATGTATAAGTAAAAAGAGGTAAAGCAGGAGGCGAATCTCCAGTGACTGAAGCGCAGATCTCAGCTTCCCTGTGCCTTTATTGAAAATTGCCAAGGAGCAAATCACAAAGAGATTTCTATGTAAATGAAGCTAAGCTCTTTCTATTGAAAACCTTATGCTTGACTCAGGAAGGAGGGGTTAGCAAATACAAGAATTGTGTAGGGAGTTCTGGGGCCTAGTGGTAAAGAAGCTGCACTGCAATCTCTAAGACATGTGGTTCGAATCCACCAGATGCTCTGCTGGAGAAGGAGGGGCAATCAATCTCTTCCTGTGCCAATCAGATCCAATTTTATTTGAGAATTGTTTAAATGCCTAAGGTTTACCTTAGTGCTTCAGGGTAAATTCGAGCTTGTAGCCACACCTCTCCCATATCCTGATACAGCATTTAGTTTATTAGAAATATTTAGAAATTTGAGTTCCCACAATCAAGGACTATAGTCTTCAATGTGGATTGAAGCTCAACATCAAGAAGACAAAGATTCTCACCACTGGGCCAATTGGCAGCACCATGATAGATGGAGAAGAGATTGAGGTTGTCAACAATTTCAGCTTGCTCAGCTCCACAATCAACAGTCTTGGCACCAACAATCAGGAAATCAAAAGACATACTGCACTGGAAAAAACTGCTGTCAGGGACCTCTCAAGAATACTGAGAAGCAACGATGTCAGTCTAGAGACTAAGGTGCACCTGATCCAGTTCATGGTCTTCATAATTACTTGCATCAGAGAGATGAACAATGGCTAAGGATGACAGAGAAGAATTAGTGCCTTTGTTCTGTGGTGCTAGAGCTGCTGGAGAAGTCGTGACCATATCATAGACCACCACATTTGCAAACAAGTCTGTCTTGGAGAGGATAGAACCAAATTTCTCCTTGGATGCTAGGATTTTGAAGTTCTGTCTCACATACTCTGGGCACATGGCCAGGAGTGACCAGTCCCTGGAGAAGGATATCATTCTCAGAAGGGTGGAGGAACAGCACAGGAGAGGAAGAACCCAGATGAGATGGATTGATACAGTAACTGGGGCAGTGGGGGTAGGTATTTATTGTTGGAGTCAGTGAAACTGGCTCAGGATAGGGCAGGCTTGAAAGGTATTGTACATGGGGTCATTATGGATTGCAGATAACTCGATTGCACATAACAACATTATATGTGAGGTGAAGTTCACTATCCTTGCCTCCAAAAAATGGAGTCCCTCAGTGGTGCAAATGGTTAAGCATTGGACTGCACACTGCAGAGATCTGACAGTTCAAGCCACTTCTAGGGACTTTGGAAGAAAGGTCTGGCAATCTGCTTCTGAAAGGTCAGAACTTTGAAAACTCTGTGGAGACAAGTTCCATTTTGCACGCACGGGGCACCCACGAGTCCTGGAATTAGACAGTGGTAACTATTATTTTTGTAATTTTTTTTACATTTTTTAATTAATTTAAATGAAAGTTTACAGAGACTTAGGGTCTCCACTCATTCATTGTTGCACTTTTCTCCCGGCCCACCCTCTTACCCTCAATTCACTTTTCTCCTTGAAAAGAAAAACTCTTTTATTGTTATGCAATCCCTCCCCCCAGGTCCACTCCACTGTGCAGCATTCATTCTGGACTTCTGTAATCACAATACCCATACATGAGTCCCTTTTTTTTTCATGAGTCCCTTTTAAGCAGTTCTCTCCTTCATCTGTTTCAATGCAATATACATCCTTCCTCCCCTCCTTTTCTGTCTTCCCTCAACCCTGATGTCAGTTCCACTTTACAACAGTGGCCCTATGCAATATTTGTCCTTTTGTGACTGAGATATTTCACTCAGCATAGTGTCCTCCAGGGTCACCCATTTTGCATAATTTTTCTTGAGTTGTTTTCAATGCAGCATAGTATTCCATTGTGTGAATATACCACAGCTTCTCTATCCATTCGTTTGTTGATGGGCACTTGGGTTGTTTCCATCTCTTTGCTATTGTAAATAAAGCAGCAATAAATATGGGTGTGCGTATATCTCCTTGGGTGGTAGTTCTGGTTTCTTTAGGGCATATTCCCAGTAGTAGAATTTCTGGGTCAAATGGTATTTATATTAACAACTACACCATAGTGCCTTCCAGAGTTGTTGCACCATTTTACACTTCCACCAGCAGTGAATAAAGGGGTTCCAGTCTCTTCACAACCTCACCAGCCTTTATTGTTTGCTGCTCTGTTGAATTTTGCTATTGTTACTGGCGTGAGATGCTATCTCATAGTTGTTTTGAGTCTCATGTCTTTTCTCATCCTTCCTGGTGAAATCAAGCCCACTGGTGCCAAGTTGGTTCTGACACATGGTAGGTTTCTGAGGCTGTAGACCTTTATGTGAGGAGATTATCCATCTTTCTGCTACAGAGGAGCGGATGAATCTAAACCAATGACCCTTTAATTAGCAGAGCAACATGCTGTACACCAGGGCTCCTTATGCTTCTCTGTTAGTGGAAAAGATTTGAGGTTTTTCTTCTCCAACAGGTTTCTGCTTTTCATAGATCAGGTTGCCTTAGCTTCAAGCTCCATGAGATAATACATTTCTGGTGTTTAAAGCCCTGTTTTGTTATGGGCCCCCTAGCAAACAAACCCAAGGAATCAGAACTTATAAAGGAGCCCTGGTGGCCTAGTGGCAAGAAATTGCCATTGCAATCCCGAAGGCACGCAGTTCGAGTCCAACAGCTGCTCCACAGGAGGATGAGCAAGCTCTTCCTTTTTTTTTTAGCTTTGTGTGTGTGTACCGTCAAATCAGATCTGACTGGTACAGGAGGAGATTGTCCCTCCTTTCCCGGCAGAGCATCTGGTGGATTTGAACCGTGCGCCTCTGGGATTGTACTTGCAGCTCCTTACCACTAGGCCACCAGAGCTCCTCTTCCTTTTTTTTTTTAGCTTTGTGTGCGTGTACCATCAAATCAGATCTGACTGGTACAGGAGGAGATTGTCCCTCCTTTCCCAGCAGAGCATCTGGTGGATTCAGACCGTGCGCCTCTGGGATTGTAGTTGCAGCTCCTTGCCACTAGGCCACCAGAGCTCCCCAGCTCTTCCTTTGCAATAATCTGCCTCTAAAAACTCACTGGAGGGTCAGCTATGGGTCGATTCCAACTATGGTACACAACAACAACAACAACAAAGCACTAGCCCTGCTTAAACCCAATGACTGAATTGTGGAGGCCCTGACCTGGTCTTATACATCGTGATTTTTCTGCAAAAAGAGCCCCACGCAGAAAGGGGGACAAATTCAGGGAGGGGAAGTGACTGCCCAAGGTCACAGGGGGACAAGTTTGGCCTCCACGGAGCACAATGACTGCCGTCACCCTTGGCCTGACACGCTCTGACCTTGCTCTGTCTTCAATGCTCACCGTGCTGTGCCCCCAGAGCTCCACCCTGGCCCTTCACCCTCATTCTCAGACCACGCTGGGAGGCTATAGCTGCCACGAGCTCCTGCCTCCTGGATCCCACGCCGCCCTGTTCAGAAAGCAGGATGTGCCATCGTTCGGTTGACAGACAGGTATCAAGCCTGCCCTGGTCAGTACTGGGAGGTGAGAGGTGCCAACAGTGAGACAGCAGCTTACTCCTGGACTGGAAGCTTCCTGAAGGTGACCCCTGAGCTGACTGCACCGTAGGTGCGCAGGGATACTGGCTGCCCTCCATCCCTGCCTTGTTGTTAGGGGCTTGGAGTTGCGTAAGTCTCCACCCTCCGTGTCACCCCACACATTGTCACTTCCCACTCAGGGTCTGGACCCCCGTCTTGTTAGGACAGATTGTCGCTGCGCTCAGCATTGCAGGACAGGGTGGGCAGATGGTTCAATGAATGAAAAGGGCAAAGTGACAGGCATGTGGGCAGCGGCCATACAAGACAGCATTCTGAGGCTGTGGGCAGGTTGGTGTCGCTAGCTTCCTGCTCAGAGCATGGCCCCTCTGGGTTCTCCAGCTCCGCCCTCCCTCGCCCCTCCACCTTGGTCTCACGACTTCCTGCTCCAGCCACTCCTGGCTGGGTAACCACCATGGCACCAGCCCCTCTCCTCTCCTGCCTACTGCTGGCTGGCCTGGCCCACGGCATCAGGGGGCCCGTCGAGGCCCAGGTAAGTGCCCCCGGGGCTGCCTAGGCCTCATTCCTTCTCGAAATAACTGGCTTGTCACTCCCATTTCTGAGTGGGAACAACTGAAGCAGGAGGGGAGAGCTGACTCGGTCAAGCTCACACGGGGACAGGCTAGCAGGTTGAGCTCCTCACTCCAGCCTTGCCTGGGTACCAGGGTGGGAATCCATCCTTGCTTCCCTATAGGTCCCAGGCCCCCAGCCAATGGAGCTGAAAGAGGCCTTCATGCTGTTCCAGATCCAGTACAATCGTAGTTACTCAGACCCAGCAGGTACCGCGTGGCACGTGTCTCCAGCCTCCACCGCATTTCATAGATGAGGCTGAGGTTCTGAGTCGGGCATGGGCGCACAAAAGACAGCAGGGCCGGGTGCATGTCTGCATTTCCTGCCTGCATGTGTGGTGCCTGGGGGGCAACGGGGAGCTATGGGGGGTCCTGCTTGGTCCTACGTAACCGTAACCTCTGGCTTCCACAGCCCCATTCCGGTGATTCTCACATTCATTTGGCAAGCATCCGAGGGTCCCCTTTTATTGTCCTTAAGCTGGGACCTCTCGCTTCACCTCGGGTGCCCAGTCCTGCCCTCATCTCCCATAGAGGGTGGTGAGCTGGGCTTTCAGTGTGGGCTGCCTGCATCCTTCCCCCATGCCCATCCTCCAGCGCCAGGCCTGTGTGGTCAGAGTGTGAAAAGGCAGTGCAGCTCGACAGGAAGGTGGTCACTCACATACCTTTTCTGAGTCACCCTCCCCTGAATTCCTTGCTTGGTTTCCACTAAGGCAAGTCAATGGGCCCTCTCCCATCTCTGCAGAAAACCTCACTGGGGGTGGTGGCTAGAAACCACTTCCTGGGCCCAGGGGTCTGCACTGAACTCTGGGAGGTGGTCACAGGGGAGAAGCCACACTCACCTAAGTGAGGCTGAGGACAGCCTGTCAACGGGCCACTTCCGGCCCTGGGGGTTAGGTGCTAGCTTAGAACAAGCTCTTCTGCCCAGAATATGCCCACCGCCTGGACATCTTTGCACGAAACCTGGACCGAGCTCAGCAGTTGCAGGAAGAGGACCTGGGCACAGCTGAGTTTGGGGTGACGCCATTCAGTGACCTCACAGGTACATGAATGCTTCTTGGGCCCTAGGTGGCAGGTGGGAAGCAGAGTCTTTAACAGGTATATGGGGACTGGAGGTGCCCATTCCCAGTGGGGATCCTGAAGCTCAGATAGGAAGCCGGGCACTCGCCCTTGACCACAGGCAGGTGCTCGGGTCACACAGCCCAGGGCGAGGTAAGCACCCAGGAAGGAGCTGGGCCTCTTTAGCTTCTGTCTCCTCCGCTCTCTGGGAATTCTGGGGCTCCACATGGTCAAAGGTGTGGACGTAGGACTAGGCCGGGCAAGCGCAGGGGGAGGGGTGGTTGAAACTGGCCTGTGGCCCCGCTGTTCCCCAGAGGAGGAGTTTGGTCAGGTCTATGGGCACGAGAAGTCTCCTGGAAGAGCTCCCAATGTGAGCAGAAAGGCAGGACCTGAGGGATGGTGGGAGTCAAGGCCTTCCAGTTGTGATTGGCGGAAGGCGACCAATGTCATCAAACCTGTCAGAGAACAGGTATCTGCCCATCCCAGGCTGGCCCCGTCCAGTCCCAAAGGTGGGAGGGAGAGGAGGGGGCAGGGCCCAGACTCCGTGCTCCACCCACCATCTCTCATGCACTAGAACAGTTGCCGATGCTGCTGGGCCATTGCAGCAGCGGGGAACATCGAGGCCCTGTGGACCATCAAGAGCCGGCAGTCAGTGGAACTCTCTGTGCAGGGTATGCTGGGAGGGGGGTGAGCAAAGGGGATGGGTCTAGGGCACTTGGCCATCAGGCTGTCCCTTCCTGCCTCAGAACTCATCGACTGTGGCCGATGTGGCAACGGCTGCAATGGTGGCTTTGTCTGGGAGGCATATTTAACTGTCCTTAACCGAAGTAAGTACTGGTTCTCTGGGGGCCTGCAGGCAGGGGGATGGGGAGGTGGGCTGGGGGAAGAGTCGGGAGGAGGGCCAAGGGTGCAAGATGGGTTGTGTGGGAGCTACCACCATCTCCTGCTTCCCTCCTCCCAAGGCGGCCTGGCCAGAGAGAAGGAGTACCCGTTCCAGGGGAACTTCAAGGCCGAAAGGTGCCAGGCCACGTACAAGAAAGTGGCCTGGATCCAAGACTTCTTCATGCTGCCGGAGAATGAACAGAGTGCGGCCAGGGGTCATGGGTGGACCGGGTGGCAGGAGAGACAGAGGGATAGAAGCCCCCTACATGCTCTCTGCCCATTACCGAGGGCTACACCTTCCACTCCCCAGAAATCGCCCAGCACCTGGCTACCGAGGGCCCCATCACCGTGACCATCAACATGAAGCTACTGCAGGTATGCGGGTCAGGAGCCGGGCAGGGCACCCAGTGGAAGATGGCCCCAGATTCAGACCCTCTGCCCCCACTCCTATAGCAATACCAGAAGGGTGTGATCAAGGCCACACTTGAAAGCTGTGACCCCAATCATGTGGACCACACTGTCCAGCTGGTGGGCTTTGGGAAGGACAAGCTAGAGGCGAGGATGTCGGCGGAGGCACCCCAGAATGGCACCCAGGCAGGTCGCCCTCGCAGCATCTCCTACTGGATCCTGAAGAACTCCTGGGGGTCCAGGTGGGGCGAGAAGGTGAGCGTGTGCTCCAGTGGGTGGAGGACAGGCCCTGCCTCACCGGCTAGCCCTGATGCCCACTTGCTGCCAGGGCTATTTCCGGATGCACCGAGGGAGCAACACATGTGGCATCACCAAGTACCCATTCACAGCCCGTGTAGACAGACCGTCTAAGAAGCGGCCTGTCTCCTGCCCGCCGTGAGCCTGCACGGCCGCCCATCAGTGTGCCTGAGGTGCCAGCAGACTCCTTGCTGCCCTCACTCCAAGGCTTCTGCCCATCTTCCCGCCCTTCTAGCTATGAGAGAACTCTGGTGGGCTAGTCTGAGAGCGTTACATGCTACCCAATCTGCTAGCTACAGCTTGAATAAACTAAGATTAAACCACTGGTTTCCTGGAGGACCTGGCTGGGCTGAGGACACACACGGACACACACACATCCCCATGGTGCAGACCTGAGTGTTGGGGGCTGAGGACAGACAGACAGACAGACAACCCACACACACCCCATGCAGACCTGAGTGTTGGGCTGAGGAAAGACAGACAGACAGACACCCCACACACACACCCCACGCAGACCTAAGTGTTGGGCTGAGGACAGACAGACAGATACACACCCATGCAGATCTGAGTGTTGGGCTGAGGACACCCCCCCCCCACCCAGTGCAGACCTGAGTGCACCCACACATATGCCTCCCTCCCAAGTAAGGAACAGTTGGCAAACTCATGGCAGCTTTATTATCAGTGTGGGCAGGGCCGTAGAGAGGGGCTTCACTCATGGTACAGACGCAGGAGGCAGCCCCGGAGGGTGCCCATGTAGCGATCCCAGAGGGCCTGGTACCTGGAATGACACCAGCAACAGACATAGCTAGGCTTCTGGAACACCATCTCTGAACCACTGTGCCAAGCACTTCATGTCTCTTAACTCTACTGATCCTCAAAGTTCTTACAACACAGGTGCAAGTATCATCTCCTATCTTACACATGAGGAAACTGAGGCAGAGAGACTGACTAAATAACTGGCCCCCGGTTAGCTCTGGACCCTGGACTGCACAGAGAGCATGCAAGCCCAGGGTGGCAGGATGGGGAGCACTGAGTCTGCAGGAGGTCTAGGGTGTGGTCACGTGGGGAACAGGGCCGAGGTCTCTTACCGGAAGCCATCCAGGGAGTGGACAGATGCCGAATACTGATTCAGGAAGAGCCGCACGTCACTCAGCGGCCAGTGGTCAGAGCGGCAGGGTTCTACAAACTGGGGGCCCAAGGGAACACTGAGCATGGCTATAGCCTGAGACAGGCCAGGGTCAGAGGATGGGGGTCTGTGGGCAGCAGCGGGCTCACCTTCTCCACCAGGTCCACAAACAGGTCTCGGACATCCTTATTGTGGGTCAGCTTGGCGGCCACGTTCACCAGCCCCCGGGACAGGTTCTGTGGGGCAGGGATCCTGGGAGTTCTGTCTTCTGCCTCAGAGGCTGGGGGGCTGAGCCCAAAGGCTAGGGAGTGGCAGGCCTCTCCCCTAATCTAGCCACTTCCCTCACTCAACCAATTCCCACCCTGAGGCCTGCAGCGAGCGCAGCAGCGCCACCTGTCCGTCACTCTCAGGTATGACCAGAGTTGGCACTGAGGCTAAGGCCCTGGAGGCTGAAGATGCCACAGACCTTGAAGTTGGCTTCCATTTCAGAGAAGACACCAAGCTTTCCCCGGAGGGCGGTGCACACCAGGCTGCAGGGAGACAGGGCCAGCCCTGGTCACCAGGGGGGGCCCCCGAGTCAGATCTGACGCCGTGATCCCACACACAAGCCAAATTCTGCCTGACCCTCGGTCATCCTCACAAGTGCACTGGACCTTACACTCACTGTTGCATGGTGCAGATGGTCTTCCTACGTTTCCAAGCATGATGTCCTTCTCCAGGGACCGGCCCTTCGTGACAGTCAGCCCAAGAGCCCTCACAGTCCACATTTCTGCCTCTTTTCCAAAGACCTGCTGGTCAAGCTTACCTCTTATGCAGGTCCAGAAGGTCCTTGTCGGCCACTAGCACTTTGAGTTCCTTCAAATCCTGGAGAAACTCTTTGTCCAAGTCCATGTCCATGTCATCAACTTGGGAGTCTAGGTGAGGCCCAGGAAGGGAGTTGGGGTGGGTGATAAGAACCCCTCCCACACCCATCAACAAAGAAATGGATACGGAAGTTTTAGTATATTCACACAACGGAATACTGTGCTGCACTGAAAAACAAGGAACTCGTGAAATATTATTCAAAATGGATGACCCTAGAGAACATTGTGATGAGTAGGACAAAGACTGCAGCGTGCCACATGTCAAATGGGACTGACATTGGGGTTGGGGGAGACTGAGAAAGATGGGATAAATTATGTATAGTGCATTGAAACAGATGAGAGAGAGAAATGTTTAAAAGGATATGATTAGGTATTATTGTCCTGAGTCCAGAACAAAGGCTGCATTGGGGGAAGGGAGTGTGTAACAATGAAAGAATTTTTCTTTTACTTTTCAAAGAGAACGAACTGGAGGGGAGGGGTGGGCAGGGAGAAAAGTGCAACAATGAATGAATGGAAATCCAAAATCGCTGTAAATTTTCATTAAAATAAAAAAAAAAAAAGAAAGAAAAGAACCCCTCCCGCAATGCCCAAGGCCTTCCTTATCCATCACCTCCTTGTGCCCATGGGACCTGAGAGGAAACGAATGACCTGCCTCGGGCCTCACCAAGCAGTGGGCCCTGGGCAAATAATATGATGGGCACCTGGGGCGCCATGAAGAAAGGAGGCTGGGACTGGGCTATCAGGAGACCTCACTGGTGGGACCAGGCTCTGAGAGGGGGAGGTGGGGCCTGGGCACCTCCGTGAGGTCTCACCAACGGCTCCGAGGGTCCAATTCTGGATCATGAGTTCGGCACAGAAGGCAAAGTCTCCAAAGCTCAGATACTGCAGTTTCTTCTTCCCGGTCTCAAAGCGGTTGTTGGCAAAGAAGACGATGGCTGCGTAGTCTCTGCAGAGAGCGGGGCAGGGCCGCTCAGGGCCTGATGTACCTGCCTGGCAAGCAGTTTGCCACCCACTACCCTGGCTGCCTCCAAGCTCTGCCCTCTCTGCTCTAACTCACTGTGCGTCCTGACTCAGGTCACTTCTCTCTGAACCCCCAGCAGATGCCCAGAACCAGGGTCCTAAGTGTTGTGCTGTGGGCTTTGTGTTTCCTCTTCGCTACAGCCCTACTGGTAAGTGGCCAGGCTGGACTGGAACCCAGGTCAGTTTGGTCTGAAGTATGGATCACACGGGTGGTTACCACAGCAGAAGTTTAGGGGGCTGGGATGGGGAAGGTGGACCCTCAAGGCCCAGGGATGGAAGGTGCAGAAGCAGGTCTAGCTGGCTTTCGTGGTCCCTCACCTGGCGAGCCTGTCAGAGAGGAGGAAGTGTTGCTGGATGTTGTCAGCCAGGGAGCCCCGCATCTCCTCCACCACTTTGAAGACTCGCTTAAAGTTGTCAAACTGTGGGGCAGATAGGGAAGGAAGGAGGACAGGTCAGAGGGCGCTCAGCCAATATCCTCCTCACTGCCTCCACCTACCACCAACTTAACTACCCAGCCTGGTAACAACACTGACTTAGTGCCCATTATTCATTCAAATTATTCAATCTGTCTCTTATCAATTCCACATGTAATCTTTGGCTGGTGCAAATGGTTAAGTGCTTGATGATTAGCCAAAGGTCTGGTGGTTCGAAGCCAGCAGCAGACACTTTGGAATACAGGCTTGGAGATCTGCTTCTCAAAAGTCACAAATCTGAAAAACCTAAGCCAGTTCTACTCTGCACCCAGGGGGCTGCCATGGGTCAGAACCAACTCAACAGCAAGTGGTCGTCAGCTTCTGCCATCTTGCCTGGGATAAATGTCAATGTGCCCCTATTTTTAAATTCAATCCTATTTTAGCCTTATGCTCTCCAATCTCCCAAGAGCTTAAGCAAAAACTGACCCGGCTAGCTAAGCTCCAGAAGCCCAGAGATGAACAAATGCTAAGCTCTCCTCAGAGAGTTCACAGGAGACAGAGGGACAAGGCACTACAGGTCCAGAGGAAGGGCTGCTTCTCCCAGGCACCACCAGGAAGGCTTGTGCAGGAAGCAACATTGCCTTGGATTTCAAGGGGCAGATAAGGCCAGGAACAGTGTCCTCTGAGTAGAATAAATAGTAAGGTAAAAAGTGAGCCTGTGAGGTATGGAAATATAGAGAAGTCAGCAGAGGCTTGAGCAAGGAGAGTCTGAGGTCAAGGTCAAAGGACGTGGCTGTTATCTAGGAAGCACTGGAGCCAATGTATGTTCACCATCAGGAGAAAGTTAGGATCAGCTCCAGACTTCTGAAAGGTCACTCTGGCCACAATGGAGGATAGCTTCAAAGGGGCAAGATGAGGGAGGAGGAGGTGAGGAGTGGACAAGTGGGACTAGCATGGTCAAAGGGCTCGATGTAGTGAAGTGGCCGATGGATTGCAGATGGAATGGGAGGGGGCAGTGAAGGCCCACCTGTCTCCGACAGCTCTTCAGGGTGATGCCTGTTTTGGTGCTGATGTCGTCCAGGTCTTTCTTGGTGCCTTTGGACAGTTTCTTGCCCAGCACTTCTCGCACAAAGGCCTCATCAAAGGTATAGTACCTGTGAGCAAGTATAGAAGACCAATGACCCTCGGAAAGAAGGGTACAGGGGCCCATAGCAGGACCTGGGTTCTGGGTCCCTCTGTCCCCCTTTTTCTCAGTGGCCGAGTACGTTTAGTCTCCTCCCCGGTCTTCCATTTCGGTCTGTGAAATGGGTACATGCAACACCGGTTGCAATGCTTTCCATCACCCCATCACCTAAGCACCTCTCGATTAGCAGCGCCTGCCGGGAGGGCGGGATCTGAAAGATGAGCTGGTGCAACAGCTTGGGCGGCGCGTGCAACAGGCGCTCCAGCATGTGGAAGGTGCGGTAGTGGTCCATGGTGTCACTCTGCAGCACCGCCGCTGTGGCACCTGTCTGCTCCAGGATCCCTGAGCGCACTCGCAAGGCCACCGCATCGCTCACTGTGGAGTGAGCGCCGGCATCAGGTCCCCACCTCGCCAACCCCAGAGCAACTCTGGGCAGCTCCAATCCCTACAACCGCCGACCCCAGAGGCACTGTGTGCAGCCCCAGTCACTAGACCCCGTACTTCCAGCTCCTTGTCTACTTTCCTAAGTGAAAGCTAAGTCTTGGCCCCACCCCTCTCGCCACCCAAAACAGTGCCTGCGCGGGAGCGGCAACCCCCCCAGACCTGAGTAGCCATCCAACCAGAGACGATACACGTCCTCGTCGATAAGGGTTGTGTTCCCCACGAAGATGTCTAGCTCGCTGGTCATGGTGACGCCCAGGCCCGGGCACCGCAGCAGAGCCCCGAGGAGGAGCCCGCACTGCCCGGGCCCGGCACGCCGCCGCCGGGCCACTTCCGGGAACGCGGGAAATCCGCTCCGGGTACCCGGACCCAGCCGGGGACCACTTCCGGTACAGACCGCGCCGGGGCGTGGGCGGGGCGTGGGCGTGAGTGGGCGGGGCGTGGGTGCAAGTAGCCGAGACACCAACAGTGGTGCCTCACCCCTTTTTCCGGCTGCGGGGGAGACCTCAGGCTCTGTTCCCCGCATCCCTGCCACCTCGACTGAAGACATCCGAGTTCGAGGTCTTCAGCCCCTCTGTCCTCGATTCCTCCAGGTTTTCGTACCACCTTCTCTGGCCTCTCCTAGGCACTTTGAACTATATGCTAAATTTAGGAGTGCTCCAGGGTTCGACCCGAAATCTCTTCCCGAGAAAAAAGAGTGTATGGCCTGATTTCCAAAGACCTTTACTTGGGACTGCACTGCCCATCTGAGGACCAGCAACTCTCCTGAGCTATCGCTGCTGCCAAGGTTTTAATCACCCCCGCATAAGTAAATGAACTCGCTAATTCTGCAGTTCAGAATTCTGCTGTAAAGCCCACATCCAGAGGGCCTCCTAACTGGCGAGTGTCTCTTGGCCACCTTCTCCTTTTCTCTCCAAATTAAACTAATTCTGCAGACCCTCCCTAGTCTGTTGTTAGTCTGTGTCCCTTTTTTACAGGCTGGGAATTCTCCCAGACATCTCTATCTCCACATTCAGCCCTGTTGATTTTGTCTCCGGGATAATGCTTCCTTCCTTCCTTCCTTCCTTTCTTTCCTTTCCTTTCCTTTCCTTTCCTCTTCCTTCCTTACTTCCTTCCTTCATTCCTTCCTTCCTTCCTTCCTTCCTTTTCTTTCTTTTTGTTTCTTCCCCTGCCTTTACCCCTGGCACTGTCCCAACCCAGTCCTGCAAAGCTTTCCTTGCCCATGGCCAGCGGATTCGAGCTAATCTCTCTGCCTACACCCATCCCCCACTCAATCCCACACAGCAGCCTGAACCCATGTACTACTTTTCATTATGCTACCCTCGCCCTTCCAAGCCTCACTGATCTGTGGAAATCCCCTCAGCCTGATGTTGACAGCCCTTTAGAATGTGGCTCCCTCCTACCTTTGTAACCTCCTTAAACTCTTGCCACTTTCTCCAGGCATCTACATTTTAAAAAGCATCATACTATTCTCATTGTTTCAAAAACAGCTGGGCCATTTCAGGTACCAATGCCTTTCATCATGTGCTGAGACAGAGCAAGACCTTTTGATTGAAATAATCCTCTTTACTTGGTCAAATCCTGTACATCTTTCAGCCTCTTAGCTATCACTCTCAGGAAATCTTTCTGGCAGCCCCCTCAAAGATTCCCTTGCCTTACCCATCATTTGCCCCTTCTTTAACATCATTGAGGTAGCATTGCCCTGTAAAAGGCCCTGCCCAGTTGGTGGGCAGTTGAAATCCACCAGTTGCTCTTGGGAGACAAATGGACAATCTCCTCCCACCCGGATTTACAGCCTCAAAACCTGATGTAGGGTCGCTTTGAGTCGAAATCAACTCCACAGCAGTGTTGTGGTGGTATTTTTTTTTCTTCTTTATTTTTGGTACAGGTTGTTTGTCAAATTGTGACTTGAGGATAGGATCTTGGTCAAATTAGTTTCTGCATGGTCCTGGCAAGCAGTAAAGGTTTACTGAACAAACAAATCCCTGTATGTCCTCCTGCGGGCAGGAAATACTCCGTGGGAGGGAGGGTAGGCTGACGGGGCGCCAGGACATTCAGCCTCAGGGTTCTCGGGTGCTGGGAGAGATTTAGCGCGCCTAGAGTCTCTACTTGGAACTAAGCTTAGGACGAAAAATCTCGCGTGTGAGGGCTGGCATTGGGAAGCACGACGCATCCAGCTTCAGGATGAGACCAGCGCGGAGGACAGGGACACGGAGGACCTGTGTCCGAGAGAGCCTGAGCCACCGCAGTAGGGAGTGGGCGGGGGAGGGGCAGTAGGGCCCTGCCCCGCCCCTTTCTGGGATCGCTTCTCCGGATTGGCCGCCCTCTCGCGACGTCACGCTGCCCCGCCCCGGCGCGCGCCCACCCCCGGGCTGAACCTACAGCCTCTGCTGCATCCGCCACTGCCTACCGCCCGCGAGCGGGAGCCGGAGCCCGAGCGACGCCGGGCAGACGTGGGGCTCCTGGGCGGTGGCGGGCGATGCTCCAGCGGCCTGAGCAGCCATGGAGGCCGAGGCGGGCGGCCTGGAGGAGCTGACGGATGAGGAGATGGCGGCGCTGGGCAAGGAGGAGCTGGTGCGGCGCCTGCGGCGGGAGGAGGCTGCGCGCCTGGCGGCGCTGGTGCAACGCGGCCGGCTGATGCAGGAGGTGAATCGGCAGCTGCAGGGCCACCTGGGCGAGATCCGCGAGCTCAAACAGCTCAATAGGCGCCTCCAGGCTGAGAACCGCGAGCTGCGCGACCTCTGCTGCTTTCTGGACTCGGAGCGCCAGCGCGGGCGGCGCGCCGCGCGCCAGTGGCAGCTCTTCGGGACCCAGGCGTCCCGGGCGGTGCGCGAGGACCTGGGCGGCTGCTGGCAGAAGCTGGCGGAGCTGGAGAGCCGCCAGGAGGAGCTGCTGCGGGAGAACCTGGCACTTAAGGAGCTGTGCCTAGCGCTGGGCGAGGAATGGGGCCCCCGGGGCGGCTCCGGTGGCGCTGGGGGCTCCGGCGCCGGACCGACCCCCGAGCTCGCCCTGCCCCCCTGTGGGCCCCGCGACCTGGGAGACGGAAGCTCCAGCACCGGCAGCGTAGGCAGCCCCGATCAGTTGCCGCTAGCCTGCTCCCCTGATGACTGAGGGCGCTGTTTCCTGGGCACCGGCACCCACCTGGATTGCGCCTTGAGCTCCAGGATTGCGGTGGACCTCGGGACCCGGGCGCCGTCCCGGCTTCGCCCGAGGAGCAGCCGGCATGGACTGAGAAACCTTGACTTCGAAAAGAGCCCCTTACCTTTGCCTGTATGGTGGAGGCTGGAGCAGAGGGGTTTCCTGGGCTGGGTGGGGGCAAATAAACTGAGGTGGAGCGAAGCTCACGCCCTGGGCAGCGTCTATTTGGGGTTCGCCGAGGTTGGGGCAAGGGGCGGGGGTGTTAAGATAGGATCCTATCCCCTTCCGGAGGCGCTGCAGAACTCAGGGAGTTGGCTTTCCCTTTATCAGGGGGCCAGGTTGAAATGGAGGACCATGGTAGGCCATGACTCTCCTCGTGAGGCTGTGCGACAGGCTATGATCCAGACCCTGGAGTGACTTCCCGGCTCCTTCCTGTCCAAGACAATGGAGCAGGAAGCAGGTGTGGGGCTAGAACACAAACTGCCTCCCCGGAGAGTGGAAGGGGCATATGAGGCTCTGCTGTGGGTCCTCCCAGGGAAGAGGAAGAGAGTAATTCTCTTCCCTTGAACGCAGGAGCACGCCTTCCTTTTGGGGGTGGGGGTGTGGGAGTGTAGATGTGCTGTACCTTCACATGTCAGATAAGACAGTGGGAATTCAGAGATAGTGAAGAATTTACCCAAGGTCACAGAGTGAGTGGGTGGGTGAAACTGTAGCCTTGGGCTTCCTGCCCCAAATGTACCCTTTGAGCCTTGGGGTCCAGTCACAGACTCAGACTAGAAAGAGCATCAAGCCTTTTTATTCCATTTGACAGGTTTTTACAAAAATACTCTTCTTTAGGAAAATAAATAGCAGCTGCCCTGGCTGTGTGGGCTTGGATTCCCTGGAGCTAAAAGCCTCTCAGAGCTGGGGGCTGCAGGTCAGCTCATCACAGAGGCCTCGGATGTCCTCCTGGGCTGTGCCATTTCAAAGGGGTCGACAGGAGGCCCTGATCCAATCAGCTGGTGCTGCTGGCAGTGGGGCTGGGCGAGTTAGTGTTTGAGGCTGGTCCAGTGGCACCTTCTGTCAGGCAGTAGGGCTGAGGGGGAGGTGAGAGGAGGAGAGTGATGGAGACCTTGGGGGTGGATCTGGAAGAGGTGAGGGCTCCAGAAGACCTCAAAGGATCTACAGAATCTTTTTGGGCTGCCAGAATCTCTCAAGCAGGAAATAATTTGTGTCACGTAGTGCAAATTGTGTTAGAAGGACCTGCTGGAGAAAACCAGTGGGCGGCTGTGGTGGCCCCAAGCTGGCTCCATCAGAAAGCAAAATACGCTCAGTCTTATCTGGAAGGGTGGGCTGTGGTCCAGGCCAGCTGGATCATCGGGGAGAGGTGTCTAGAGTGACTGACACCTGCAAAAGGGGCCCCCCCCCAACACCTCACAAAGCAAGGAGGGTAGGGGAGCCAAGAGGGTCAGAAGACGGGTCCCCACTGCTGCTGCTACTTCTGCGGTGGGCAGAGGAGCAGGGCTCGGGGGTGCTGGGGTAGGTGAAGACCAGGCTGGGGGTGAATGGGGTCAGGGAGGGCGTGGTCATGAGTGTGGGGGTGTGCAGCGCCTCAGGTTCAAGCACAGGCCCTGGAGAAAGGGAGATACAAGGCACAGGGCGAGAGGAGGCGGCCGGGCTGCTGGCACCGCCTGTGCCGCTCGTGCCCTCTGCGCCGCTCTCCTCAGCCTGTTCTGGAATTTTGCAGATGGGGCGGTGGGCTTCCAGCACGAGCTCCAGGCGCTCCTTCTGCTTCTGCAGCTCTTCAATCTCTCGCTGCAGCCCGGACTTCTCATCCTCCAGTTTGTCAGTCTCCTATAAAGGATCAGGAGAGGAGTCAGGAATATGAGGGCTGAACACCCTGGAAACTGGAGGTTAGGGGGCTGGGGCTGGGGAGTCTTCATATAAGGGTGGACTACAACTCCCATGAGCACCTGGGATGAAAATGGGCACAGACTCCCATCAGGCCTGGGGGCATCCTAGAAGGAGCTAGTCCGCTAATTAAGAGACAACAAGTAAGTGATTGGCTTTGGCTACAGAGTGAGACGCGCTGCAACTAATTTTTTTTAATGGCTTTTTCTTCATCCTATCCCCATAAAGGTGCCCACTCCGTTAGGAGATCACTTGGGTGCTTCTGATCACCAGTGGGTTCCCCTAAGGCTTGAGAGGTCGGAACTCACAGCTTGCAGGAAGTCGGTCAGTTCCTTCCTTCGGTTCCGGCACTTGGCAGCGGCCAGCTTGTTTCGCTCACGTCTCACTCGGCGGCGTTCCTCCTCCTCGGGACTGATCTGGAGGGTGGAGGGTCAAAGGTGAAACACTCTGTGGCAGGCACTCAGCACTGACCCCCCCACACACACACAGCTGCCCAAGGATATGGTTTAGAGATCTCAGCATCCACCAACTTCCCTCACTCACTCTGTAAGCAGCCTGGGTGCTGGCAGCCAGCCTGTCATCTCTCACCAAGTGCCCTCCCCGCTACGAATCTTAAACCTCCTCTTGCCCAGGGCTCAGGTAAAGTGCCTGCGTCTCCAGAAAGCTCCCATCTCTCTCTCATCCCCCAGTCAGGAGTGGGTTTTGTGCTACTGAGTCCTGGGTCCAGGACCCTCATCCTGACCAACTCTTGATGGCCTAGTCGCTTCTTCCACTTGCGACAGTGAACACTAGATGGGGCTAGTGGGTACTGCGGAATACACTAATTTATTAGCAGCCTCGACCCAAGCCTCAATTCCATAGCCTAGGTTCACATTTAGTGACTTGTTTTTGTTAAGTGTTGTCGAGACGAGTACATAGGCATCCATAGATAATAGATCTGAATACTGTCCTATCCTGTGCCATCCTTATCATCCTCGATGCATTTTAGTCTGTTGCTGCAGACACTATGATTAATACACCCAATTGAAAGTCTTCCTGTCCTTCGCTGACCCTCCACCTTTCCAAGCATAATGTCCCTTTCCACAGAAGAGCCTTTCCTAACAACATGGCCAAAATATATAAGGTGAAGCTTCAGCATCTTTCCTTCAAGGGAACATTCTGGTTGCACTTTCTCCAAGACATATCTGTCTGCAGCTTTGTAGGCTGGTGGATCTGCCCGTTCTCAAATTGTAATCATGACAGATACACACTGTCTCATTTCTTTTCCTCAGTGTAGCTGGTGGGTTTCAGCCATCAACTTGCCAGTTAGCACTCGCAGGTGCTTTAACCACCATGCCATCAGGGTTCATGTGAAGCACTTGGCTGTTAATGGAAAAGGACAGGAGTTCAAACCCATAAGTTGTTCTGTGGGAGAAAAATACTGTATTGGAAACCCCTATAAGACTGAATCAATCCCTAATCTATCTATCTATATGTCTGTCTGTCTATCTATCTATCTATCATCTATCTTCCTTCCTTCTTTCACCTTGCTTTTTTTTTTTAAAAAATATATTAAAGTTGGTGTTTAATGATTAAAGAGATGCACTACTAACCCAAGGGGCTCTGGTAGCCTAGGGGTAAGAAGCTGCACTACAGTCTGGATGGTAAGCAGTTCAAATCCACCAGTTGCTCCACAGGAGAATACTGATCAATCTCCTCCCATGCGATTACTGCTTCTGAAAACCCTCAGGAGGGTCAGCTATGGGTCAGTTCCAACTTGAAGGTACACAATGACAACGACTAACCCAGTGGTGGGCAATTTGAAACCACTTGTCTGGGAAAAAACTTGGGAAAAGAATTGCATAGGGGGCAGTTTTCCCTTGTCATATAGGGACACTTCAAGCAAGATTCAAGGGCACACGACAACAACTACATGCCAGTTGGGTGATTAAAATGATTCTTAACCCCACTTTTTTTATGGGGAACTGAAGCTTAGGAAGACAAGTCCCTGTTTAAGGTCCCAGGGCAAGAATTAGAATCCACTACCTCTACTTGGAAACAGTAATAATTAAGAAATCAACATATTCCATTGGGCAAATCAGCTGCAAAAAACCTTAACAAGAGCTAGAGAGCAGGGGAGCTCTGGTGGCCTAGTGGCAAGAAGCTGCACTGCAATCCTAGAGATATGAGGTTCGAATCCACCCGATGCTCTGCTGGAGAAGGAGGGGCCATCTCCTCCTGTACCAGTCAGATCCAATTTGATGGTACACACACACAGAAAAGAATAAAATAAAAATTTTAAAAAAAGAGCTAGAGAGCAAGAAGGTTGTGTTGAGGACTAAAGTGTGCCTGACGCAAGCTGATATTTTCAGTCCCCTCATATAAACACAAAAGTTGGACAATGAAGAAGGAAAGTTGAAGAGCCGATGCCTTTTTTATTGTGGCATTGGTGGGGAATATTGAATATGCCATGTACTTGTAGAAGAACAAATCTGTCTTGAGAGAAGTGTGGTGAGAATGTCAAGGAGGGACCAGTCCTTGGAGAGGGACGTCATGCTTTGGAGGGTAGAGGGACAGCACAGGAAAGAAAGACCCTCGATGAGATGGATTTGACTCTGCCAGGGGTAATGGAGGTGGGTGTGTCAGAGACAGTAAGGTTGGCTCAGGATAGAGCAGGGTTTGGAGCTGTTGTACATAGGGTCGCTATGAGTCTCAGGTGACTTGACGGCACATAACAGCAAAAACAACATCAGGAGAGGTCAGTTCCTGGAGAAAGATCTTATGCTTGGTGAAGTAGAGGGCCAGTGAAAGAGAGGAAGACTCTCAATGAGACGATTGACACAGTGGCTGCCACAGCAGGGATTGCAGCGTGGCGTGGTGTTTCCTTCTATTGCACAGACTGGGTCGCTGTGAGCCAGGGAGAGCGGGAAGCAGCATGTAACACAACCACCTCTGTTCAACCTTGTTCAGACGACTCTCTCCTACTCACAGCCCCAACCTGGAACTGGGAGTACCCAGATCACAGGGTCATCCTTAGAACAAGGCTGGAGTCCAGGAGAGGTGACACCTGGCTCGTCCACCTCTGGGGCTCTCACGGAGGCCCCCTTCTCCAGGAGGTCATAGGAAAACTGCCCCTGTCCCATTTCACATCTTTCTAGGCTCTCAACCTCTCCATCAGCTGCCCTGCAGTTGGAGTCAGCTTTTCAACATGCAAACTTTACCCCAATGATAATGGGGTGATAACCCTCAGATCAAAATACCCGGGGAATCGGAAGACCTTCACTACTTACTTAGCCCCTGAAGCCCCCTACTTGCTCTCATTTATTTTGTAAGGGTTTCAGTTGAGCGGTGAGAAGGCAGGAAGCCTTGCTGGGGAGGGTGGTTAGGACCTGACAGAGTAGGACAGGCTGGACCAGGGCTCACTGAGCACCGCTCGTGTGATCTTGGGCAAGCAACCTGCCCCCCCCCCTTGTGCCACTGTTTCCTCAGTTGGAAAATGGGGGGGTATCAGCATACTTTTCCCAGAGGTGGGTTTGTTTTTTTTTTTTTTTTAAGGATTAAATGTGTGGGAAATTGAGTCCCAGAGAATAATGGAGAGAATCTTCTCTTTCCTGTTCTCCCCCCTCCCTCTGGGCTGTATAGAGCTGTGGATGGTGTCAGCCTGCTCTTGGGCACATGTCTGGACTGGAGTCCTCCACTGTCCACTCTCCTCTCCGCAGGCAAGTTCCCACCTCCTTCCATCACCATTCCTTGCTCCTGCCACTCCCTCTGCTGGGAATTCCATCTTTCCTTCATCTCTATCTTTGCAAACCCTGCCCCGGAGATCTAACATCGCTCTGGGTGAACATGTCCTCTCCTCCAGATTCAGAAGCGACCTCCTTGTCCTCCGGGACCCTCCAAGGACTCCTATCACCTTCTGTCTTTGGCAATAGCTGCCAGAGACCCCATGTTCCCTTCTTCTAAGGCCAGGTTTGACTTTTAGCCAGGAGCTTGTCCTCAGCATCCCTATAGCCCTGTGGCGTCAGAGCTAGGGCGAGGCTTCCGCTTCTCACCTGGTCACAGGGCCGGCGCCTTGCTCCTGGAGGAGGCCCCAGGGTCCGGATGACTCCTGGCCTCGGCTGGGGGGCACTGAAGTGGGTGTAACCCAGAGACCGAGAGTAGCTGCTCTGGCCCAGGAAGTGAGGCTGGACCATCCACTGCAGCTCCTGACTGCCACTCACAGCATTGAGACTTGGTACGAGGTGAAACTTCTAGGAGACAAAAGTGGGACGCTAGAGATTAGGGATACCCAGTGGACAGAGGCCATACTGTCCTGCACCTCCCAAGCAGCTGCTAGTCTGGCAGAGCACAGCTTGGCAGACAGACAGACTGCCTTGCTGGCTTTGCTCTGGTCACACAGCCTCTCTGTGCCTCTCTGTTTTCCCATTAGAACGAATACTTAGAAAATGTAACCCGCTGGGCACTGTCCCGGCCACTCTTACCGAGCCTGACTCACATGCTTTGCCCAATAGCCCTATGATTATTAGCTCTATCATTATCTGCATTTTCGGGGAAGGGTTGCCTGCAGACACAGCTAGGAAGTGGGCGGTAGGCAGGGACCCCAGGTGACCTGGCTCCAGAATCCAGCCCTCACTCACTCCTTCTTTCTGCCAGTCCCGTCTGCACACTTCGTAGCTCAAGGGGCTGTGAGATTCACTGAGAGAATGTGTCAGAGGCTAGTGCCCGTGTGTAAGTGGCCATGGCAGGCTGTGCTGCGTTCACATCCTGGCTCAGCCACGGATTAGCTCCCTCAGGAAAGTTTTTTCACCTCAGTGTGCCTCAGTTTCCTCATCTGTAACATAGTAATGGGTGGGGATCCAGCACTTCATCCATTCATTCTCAGAAGGACCTTTAAACGGCTCCTAGTTTAATTGACTTTTTTTCCTCCTCCTTTTTGCCATATACAGTGTTTTTAAACCCCTGGTTTCTTAGAGTTGATGGAATCTGAGGTGGAAAGTGCCTAGCCCTTTCCTGATCCTGGGTAAGTAACACCTCCAGGCTCATAAAAATTACTTCTGCCAGAACTCTGAGCAATGGGTTGTATGGAGGGCTTATTGTTCTCCTAGGTGAACTAGGTTCGAAGCCTGGAGCTGGGTCCTGGGTGTGGGCGCCCACTCGTCCCGGAAGCCTCCACAAGCCCAGGCAAGTCTGGACAGCGGAGGCCCCGGCTCAGCACTGCTGGCCCGGTGGCCCAGTGACCCCAGTTCCGGGCCCGAGGCAGCGCTGGTGGCAGCATCTCCGGCTCGCGAGGTTGTCCCTGCCCGGCGCTCGGGGCCAGGAAGGGAGGGGCGCCACGGGTGACTCAGCCGCCGTGACTCGGCCGCCGTGACTCGGCGGAACGGACGCCAGCTCCTTCCCTCCCCTGGAGACACGTGCTCGCCGCCCCTTGACAGGAAATGGGCACCTGCCACCTCCCGGGTGTCCCCCGGCCCGGGCGCGGGCACTGGCCACGCGCGACGCTGCGCAGGTCCGAGGGCTCGCGGGCTCAGCGGCCCCGTCCGGGAAAGGGGTTTGGAGGAGTAGCCACCGAGAATGGGGGTCCCAGGTGAAGAGTGGGGGGAGGGAAGGACAGGCCGGCAGACAGACAGACACCGTCACAGAAGCACAGAGGCAGAGAGCCCTCTCCCTCGGGGTCACACGACTCCGCCACAGTTCAAAGTTGAAAGCCAGGCGGCCAGCCCGCAACAGCCTGTCCGATCTAGCGGGGCCACCACCAGTGTCCCCTAGTCCCGCGGAGCCGGGGGCGGGGACATGGAGACCAGCGGTGGCAGGAGGAGGGGGACAGACAGGGATGGACAGCAGAGCGCACAGGGGTGGGAGCAGGCGACGAGCGGTGTCCGACCCCGTATCGCGGAGGGAAAGTGGACCCTGGACCGCAGGGACGAGCAGGGACCACGGCTCTCCACCTCCGGCCCCGGGTCCCCTGGTCTCTCGCCGGCCCCTCGCTCTGGGTCCCCCCAGCTCTGCCCCTCTCTGGGCCTGGGTCCCTGCCTGGCCCCTGGCCTTGCCCTGGTCTCTCTCCGGTCCCCAGCCCGTCCCTGGTGCCCCGTCCCAGACGTCGTGCGCTCGCCTCACCTGCTGGCCGGCCACCTGCGCCGCGGCGGGGCTGTGCCGGGGGCCGCCGTACGCGCCGCCCGGCCCGGCGCTCGGTCCCGGGTCCCCGAAGTCTCGGAACATGCCCTGAGCTTGCTGCTCCCGGGCCGTGGCAGCTCGGTCCTGACTCACTCGCTCCTCGCCGACTCTTTGCTTTTTATGAATGAAGCTCTCGGGCTGAACCACTCGGAGCGCGCGGGGGTGCGCGTGTCTGGCCTCCCCTCTGCGGACGCGCAGCCTGTGTCGTCCGCGCGAGCTGGCGACGCCTCCTGAGACCTGGTGGCCCCTCTGCTCGGGGAAGGGGCGGACTCGCGGCCCCCCGCGCCCGGGCGCCGGGCTCCGCCCTCTGACGCAATTGCCCATACATGGTGCAACTTCCTCGGCGCGCCCAGGTGGAGCCCCGGGTTCCCCGGCCTGACGCACCTGCGGCCGCCACGCCCCGCCTCCGCCGCTCCCGCCCAGGCCGGCGAGCCGGAGCCCGCACGCAGCCCTGGCCTCTGCAACCCTAAAATGGGACACGACCGTCAGAGCGACCTTCCCGCACGTGGGAGGGTGGAAGATGGATGGGAAAGCAGTGTGAGATCTATAACGTGAATTATAAATGTGACGGGTTATTTATATTATTGTTTTCTGTTTTACTGGGTGTTTATTTCATGCTGGGAACCATGCTCACTGCCACCCACGGCTTCACAGTTGCGGCGGGGTGGGGTGGGGTGGGGGGCCCCCTTCTCTGTCGTTGTTGAAAGGCTTCAGGTATACTGAAAAACGAGTAAATGACAAACCAGAGTTACAAGCATGGTGGTCTAGTTCAAGTGCGTACAAAGAACAAAGCAATGCTTTGAAGAGCCACAAATGCAGCGCAATATCGCTGTGCTACTGGCCAGAAATTTCAAGAGCACAAACAGGTTTTAAGAAGCCCTGGGAATGAATACGTAATGTATCAGACTAGGAACCAAAAGGTGGAAAGGTATGCTAGATGACACCTCCTGGCTACTCCACAGGAGAAAGATGGGCAGTGTTCTTCCGTGATGACCTAGAGTCTTGGAACCAGTTTGTTGGCAGTGGGATGGTTTTCTGGTTGGGTGGTGCATTAAACAAATGCCGGCAGCGCAGAACCATAGAGTTGCACCACGAAAGAAAGGCCTGGCAATTTATTGTCATAAAGAGTACAGCGATGGGAATGCAGTGCTGTAACGCACGAGGTAGCCAGCAGTCCATATTAACTCTACTGCAATGACTGGCTTGTTAGGCAGTGAAATGGCTCTTGGGGCCGGACACAAGTGGGCAGTTGTCTGGTGAGTGCCATCATCTTTAAACACTCTCAGTGGTGATTTGGGGACTTGGTGGTCATGAGCATTGTTTGGAGATTATGTCAAAGGTCTGTATGAATCCAAGGCCAGAGTCAATGTAGGTACCACCATTGCCTCTGTTTTACAGACGGGACAGTCAAGGCTGAGAGATGTTTAAGTGATCGTGCAAGGCCCTTAGGTGAGCAGCGGGACCAGATTCACAAACCAGGCCTCTAGAAACTCCAAACACAGGCTCAGCCAAGACTTCTTGAAAACCCTCCCAGCTTCTCACATACATGCTTTTCCTCTACTCTCCTATTTTATAGATGAGGAAACTGTGGTCCAGAGGGAGTAAGTAGCTGCCCATGTCACACCACCACAGAAGTAAGACTGGGCTCTCCTGATTTCCCTTGGGACACCACTTAATAGTTTGAGGAGGGCTTCTGGGGGGCCAGCGCCCTGGGAACAGGGCACAGGGCACGTGAGCTCGCTTAGAGCTTAGAGTCCAAAGGCCAGCATGAATTTGGGACTTCGGTCTGAGAGCTACCGTTTTCTGTCTCCTCTGAGTCTCTGTCCCAAGGACAATAATTGGATCTCCTGCTGACCTCACAGGGCTGCTGTAAGGATCAAACGAGAACAGATGCTAAAGTGCTCTATAACCTGTAAAGTACGGTGGCTCCAGGAGGAGGGCATCAGCTGGTGCCTCTCCCCTTTGCCTTTGTCCAGTTCAAGGCTTGACTTCCTATGAAAAGAAAGCATTTTGCCAGGATGTAAAACAAAGAGCGTGTGCACACTGCAATCCCGAAGGCGCATGGTTCGAATCCACCAGATGCTATGCTGGAGAAAGAGGAACAATCTCCTCCTGTGCCAGTTGGAACCAATTTGACAGTATACAGCAAGGGGGGGGAAAATTAAAAAAAAGAAAGAAAAGAGTGTGTATGTGTGTGTGTGTGTGAGAGAGAGAGAGAGAGAGAGAGATTTTGCAGCCTTGTGGCCCACAGACAGAATGTGCTTGTTGGAGTTCTGGGTCTTGGAGTGGATTTTGCTGAGCTTCTCATCAACCACAATCTTGGTGGTGCCATGGATTAAGCACTGGGCCGCAAACTGAAAGGTTAGAAATTTGAACCTATCAGTCACCCTGCAGGAAAAAAGATATGACAGTCTTCTTTAAAAATGTCAGCCTTTAAAACCTGGAGGGCAGCTCTCCTCTATCCTACGGGGTCTCTAGCAGTCAGAATTGACTTGGCATCAATGGGTTTGGTTGGGTGCCCCGCCAATGTGACCCAGATGAGGTTCACCGTGTCCCTTGTCACCTGGAAAGTGGAGCCGTGGCGATAACTCTCTCAGTGGTGATGAAAGATAGAACAGTCCCCCAGGCTTAGCACAGCACTGGACAATGGTGAGACCTTGAGAAATAGTTGTTGGTGAGCATCACTGAGTCACTTCTGACTCATAGCGACCCCGTGTGACTGAGCAGAATTGCCTCTTGAGTTTTCTTGCTTGGGAATCTGTCCAGGAGTGGACTGCTAGGTTTTCACCATCTTTTTGGTTTGCTGACCAATACTTAACCATTATGCTAAATAACTTTGGTAAATAGTATTGAAAAGAATAATATCTAGTCTCAGATTTAGGTGCCCTTGATGCCTGTGATCACATACCAAGATGCAGGTAGGTATGTGCACAGCCCTCCCCCCCCCCACACACACAGATGCACACACAAATAGCTGCCTCTCTGCCTGAACCTGAGCTGTGTATCCAGGTGGGGTATATGTTCAAGGCCTGACACAGATCAACCTTGACTGCATCGCCCCTCTTGCTCCAGATGACCAGTGCGCCCCCTCCGGAAGAAGCCTGAACAGCAAAGCAGGAGTGCAGACTTAGAGCAAAACTTCTGGGTGTTTTGGGTTACAGTTTCCCGGTCTTTATTTAAATTGTGTGTGTGTGTGTGTGTGTGTGTGTGTGTGTGTGTGTGTGTGACTGCATGACTCTGAAAGTCTCTTCCTGCTCTAACCGTCGGCCGAGTCACAAGGAGGTCCTCATAGAAGCAGCACATTCCAAGCGTCTCAGTCACCAACTCCTGCCTTGTGGCTTCAGAAACTTTGCTGGGCTTTGACCTCATTAGCTCCCACCCAGAGAGGCCAGGAGAGAAGCCCATGAGTCCCAGAGGCTGCTGAGAGTCTGAGAAGGGGGTGCCAAAGAGACCCTGACGCTCTCCTTTGAGTGCTGTGTGAGTCCAGCCCAGTCTCTTACCATCTCTGAGCCCCAAGGACACACATCTCTTAGAGCTGCAATGAAACTAAAAGACACAATGGATGAAATGCCTGGCACAGAGTAGGTGATAGTGCCACCACGCTGCTGGAGGTGACGCTAATGTTTTCAGGTTCCATCCACTTTTCTTTTCGTAATAATGCCCAGGGGAGAGAATTGAAATGCCAACACCACATACTGAGCAGCTGGAACTCCACCCACTGCGAGTAGAATGAGACGCTAGTAGAATGGTACAACCACTTAGGACAACAATTTAGCTCCATCAGCTCCATGTTCCCCATGAGTAAGATTTAGTTTGCTTGGCTCCACAATCAACACTCTTGGTACCAACAGCCAGGAGATCAAAAGATGAATTGCACTGGGAAAGTTTGCTGTCAGGGACCTCTCCAGAGTATTGAAAAGCAATAATGTCAGTCTGGAGACTAAGGTGTGCCTGATCCACGCCATAGTCTTCACAATTACTTGCTATGTGTCAAAAAGCTGGACAATGACTAGGGATGATAGAAGGAGAGTTGATGCCTTTGAGTTGTGGTGCTGGAGAAGAGTATTGAATATACCATGGACTACCAGGAGAGCAAACAGTTTGTGCTAGAGAGGGTGAAACCAGGCTGCTCCTTGGAAGCAAGGATTCTTAAGCTTCATCTGATATACTTTGGGCATGTTGCAAGGAGGCACCAGTCCTTGGAGAGGGACATCATGCTTGGAAGGGTAGAGGGACAACACAAGAGAGGAAGACCGTCGATGAAATGGATTAATTCAGTCACTGGGGTAATGCGGGTAGGTGTGTAAGAGACAAGGTTGGCACAGGATAGAGCAGGGTTCAGAGCTGTTGTACGTAGGATTGTACGTAGGACTCAACAACACAGAACAGCAACCACAACAATGCGTAAGATATACACACAAAAAAGAACACTCACTCAGTATTCTCCTCATTACAGTACCTGTAATGCATTCTTACATGTGTATAATATACAATGTGTAGCAAAAGATGAAGAACACAGGCATCTCCAGCAGCTCACAGACTCTATGTCCACTCCTGCCACTGCCCCCGTTTCCTGTTACCTCTGTGCGACTTCTGTCATCACAGACTCATTTTACCTGCTCGTGGGCTTCATACACTTAGAACCGCACAGCGTGCACTTTTTTGGATCTGGCTTCCTTCACTAGCCGTATCTGCAGGATTCAGGCATGTCGCCTGGTCCTTTCTGCTGTGTAGAACTCCACAATGTGGATAGCCCGTGTGGACCCTCCCTTCATTCCTCTGTCAGTGACTAAAAGACTCTTCCTGTTTGGGATTATTATGAATAAGTCTGTGGCATCTTATAGTGGCCATGTGCCCTCGCTTCTCTCAGCTGTTTGTCCCCCATCGGCAGGGTGGAACTATTGGGTCAGAGGGCAGATGTATGCTTGGCTTTAGTTGAGGGAGCTCGACTGTTCTCCTAAGTAAGGTTATACCATTCTACTAGCGTTTCACATTCTACCAGCCGTGGGTTAGGGTTCCTGTTGTTTGACACCTGATGTTGACTT